ACGGACGACGTGGAGCTGGCCGCCAAGATTGCTGCCGAGGTTAAGACCACCCAGGCCGGCGAGAAGAAGATGAAGGAGGCCCAGGATGAGGTGCAGCGCAAGAAGGACGAGGAGGAGGCGAAAAAGGCGTCCGACAAGGACGACGAGGATGAGGATGATGACGACGAGGAGAAGGATGAATCTAAGCAAGACAAAGATCAAAGCGAACACGACGAATTGTAAGGACGTTTAGGAAAAATTGCGTCGAAAAATATTCGGTATTTTTTGTGTGTTGGTAACTGCTTTGATGTTGTAAGCAAACGGAAACCACAATTACAATTTGTAAGACTTATAATTTATAAACATAAAACTGTTTGTTTTATTTACATAAATCTGTTTTGGGCCGCTTTAGGGGTTGAATAAACTTCGTTGTTGATAAAAGCTGCGCGGAGCTGCCATATGATCAAAACACAGCGATTTGGCAACTCTTGAATCATAAAACGAGTTCTGTTTAAAGTTAACATTTTGAAAGGGGGTTTGAATAACAGTTATGAGAGTGCGAATTTAATAAAAAAAATACAATGTAGTGATTGGTTACCCTTTCTAAATTTCAAAACACTGACTGCTGAAAGGTTACTTAAGCAATTGACCTATTTAAAGCGTATTTCAAACTTATTAAAAGCCTCAAATTGAAATAGCAAACTACACGAAAGTTGTTGCTTTAAAATTTAATGAGAAGAAAAAAAAACCCAAACATAACTTAAGTATTCGATTAAACAATAGCATGTATTAGACGTATCACTTCAACTGCAGTTCTTGGTCGCTATCGCGATGCTTGCCCAGAAAGTGGCGCTTCAGATGGTGTTTCTCCCGGAAGTCCTGCAGGCAGATGGAACACTTGTACGGGCGCTCGTCGGTGTGGCGCCGCCGGTGCTTGGCCAGGTTGTTATGGTCCGAAAAGTTCTTGGGGCAATGTGGACATTTGTAGGGCTTCTCGCCCGTGTGCGTGCGGATGTGGACCTGAAGGACCTGTTTGGAACGGAAGCTGGAGGCGCAGAACGGACAGGTGTGCGGCCGCTGGCCCATGTGTGCGTGGATGTGCACCTGGAGGGCCGACTTATTGGTGAATCCCACGTGGCAGTGGGAGCACTTGTGTGGCCCGTTGCCCTGGCTGTACTCCTCCGCCGGATGGATAGACAGGTGCGCCTTGAGGATATGGTTGTGGGTGAAGGTCTGCGGGCAGTGCGGGCATTGGAACGACCTTTCTTTCACCTCCTGGCATTTGTGGCTGTCCCGACTCCGCGTAGTTGAAAAGACCTTCAAACAGATGGGACACTCGATGGTGGAATCGCTGGTGCGATAACACTGGTGCTTATCCAGATCGGTCTTGAACAGAAAACGCTCTTCGCAAGTTCGGCATACATGGGAATTACTGTGGACTCTGCAGAAAAAATAACCCTCTAAGATAATAATTGCATCTCTGATCGATTGTACTTACTTCATATGTTCCAGTAGAACTCTTTGGTGCCCAAACTCCTTTGTGCAGAGTTCGCACTTGAAGGACTGCTTCTTTGTAACTTTTGGCTTTCGGCCGGTTTTTGGCTTTGGCTTGGTAACAATTTTGTGCGACTCTTCTTTGGCAGTCGCCTCCTGGGGGCTTTCGTCGATGAACTCCTCCTTCAGGTCTAAATCGCTGTGAAACAGTTCCTCAATGTCGAGATAATTCCCCATGGGTTCCTCCTTGACGAGCTGCCGATCGCAAATCGCCAAATAGAACTTCCTGTGGCTCTCCTCGCATCTGCGCTTGAATCCGTAGGCAGTTCGAGCGTCGTGGACACAGGCAATGCATATGTTCTGGGGCAGGGAATCCCCGGGATCCAACTGGACGTCGGCACATGTCTTGACCATGTCGGCGAGATTCGGTTCGACCTGTTCCACTAGTTCTTGTCTTTCATGCTCGACGAAAATGGCCACCAACGTTTGGGAATGGTGGCCACAAATTCGACACAGGTCCTCCATGGTTTTAGAATGGTTTTAGTTCAAAAATATATTCAGGATCTCTATTCTTTTGTATTTTAAGACACTTCCTGTCTGTTAGGTGGAAAATTTATTAGGTCTTCCCGTATCAAACCGCCACCGCCAATGTATGAAATTCGATTTCGAGAAAAACAAATTATTAGTTTAATGCAGTGCGTGTGTTTGTTGTGTTTTTGGTAATGTGTTTCGATGACGATAAATGATGAGGGTGTTATCGATGGTTGTGTAAAATGTTAAGCTTGCGTATTTTTTGAATTGTTATTGTATGATTTAGTTAAATATTGATTGCATTATGCCCCTGATTACGAACAAAAAGATAAAAGTTGATGACCAATCAGTATCTTTTTTTAATTGAAAAAAAAATTTAAAGGTATCAGGTCCGTGATTTAAGTCGATACTGTGGCCACAATCGGCTATCGGATATTTAAAAACTTAAATTGAGCGGTTTCTGTCTTATAAAACGTGAAGCTTACCCTTTTCAATTATTTAACATAAGAATGATGGTACCATAAAATACGTAAAGTGACAAAGATTCCTTTTTCTGCTGTCAGATGTGCCAATCGAAGGGCTTTAAAATAAATAAATAAAAATAATAAATTTGGTAATTACAAAACAACATTTTTTATTAAGACCTCTTAAAATAATTTTTTTTCATTATTGTTTTATTTTTAAGACATATAAAAATTGTAACAAAGTCAACAAAAGAACCAAGGAGAGTATTCTCTGGCCTATGAAAAGCATTAAATTGCATTTTCAACGGTTCCGTGAAATTTCCTCTTCAATCTAATAACGTTTTAGACGGAAACTTCAGTTCCTAGTATATATCTTTCATGCAAGCATGAACAGACTTTCTGTGAATATAGTTCTAACCGTTGTATTGTGCTTGTTAATATGGCAAACCTTTACCTATTACTCGATATTGGAACAAATATGTGCGAGTATTACTGATCAACTTATGAATAATAAGAAGCCGGTTAGGTGCTTGTATTTGGAACTATGTAAATTAAGTAAAATCTTTCGACACAATTTATAAAAGGGTTTATAGGAATTGATATTATATTATTATAATTAAAGAAAATCACCGTTACCGTCTAAAAACTATTAATATTGTATTAACATTTAAAATACACGCTAATACATCCCTAATATTAGTTAGCCCTAGGTGTGAATTTGTATATGTTGATCCAAGAATTGACTGTCCGCTTACCCAAGCTTTTTTAAGCGAAATAAGCCAAGTCAGGAAACCGGCTTACCGCGAGAACGTCGACGAGAGGTGGTAAAACAGCTCTACCTCTACCCCTTTCCAGTTCGACGCTGGCCGAAATTAAGCCCCGAATGTGACAAAACGACGCTCAGTTGTTGAACTAAAATCGAATCCGACGGTCGCATAAACTTGGGCTTGGCATTCGCGAAGGCAAGCCAACGGACGTGGACGTACAAACCTTCATTCTCAAACCTCATCGAAGGCCAATCGATTTGCGTACAGAAAGCTCAAAGTACTGACTGAAAAATGTTCAGGCTGACCACTGCCTTAAGCCTCCTGCTCCTGATCCTGACTTTTGGCTGGGCTGAGCTCGAAGATAGCCCACGGGAAAAGCGCCAGTCGGATAAGGTTTGATTGCATTATAAACCTTTTAAAAAAATCTTGTTGTATGCCAGGCAAAATCGAGAACATACTTAGCTTGAACTCTCAACTTTCATTATGTAAATTTCTTTTTTAACTCGAATTTATAATATAGCCCAAAGTTAATTTTGAAGAGAAATGTTTATTGACTTTAAAATGGACCTTAATGTTTCTTGAATTTCTATAGGATGATCGTTTTCTTTTTTTTAATTTTATTAACAATTTTAATAATACATTTTTGTTCTTCTTGATAATTTTGTAAATATATTTTTATACGCATAAATATTATTTTATTGCTTCCAAACTAATTTTGAGTTCCTTTCCAGCTGCACATAACACTGCTGTACGAGTCCCTGTGCCCGGACAGCAGAAGCTTCATGCATCAGTTGGGTCCAGTGTACGAAGAGTTCCAGGACTACATCAATATCCTGCTGGTGCCCTTTGGTAAATCCCAGTCAGAGCGCAATGGAGCCATCTTCCACTGCCAGCATGGACCGGCTGAGTGTAAGGGGAATCGCCTGCAGAGTTGCGTCATCAATTCCACTGCCAACCAGGCGGCCCAGGTGAAGTTCGTGGTGTGCCAAATGCTGGCTCCGGATTACTCCCGTGTTGACCAGGTACTTTCACCGTAGAGTCGGTGGTGGTTGTTTGCTTAACTGATTGACGAGTATTGTGCGAATAATTCGTGTGTTCCATTCGCAGTGTGCCAATGAGGCGGGCCTGCTCACCGATGTGGTCCACTGCCTGTCCACCGAGACGGGCACCAAGCTGCAGCTGCAGGCGGAGCTGGTGACCAAACAGTACAGCCCGAGCTTCATTCCCACCATCGTCTACAATGGCGTAAGTTCGCGCGATCGATCGCAGCCGTAATCGAATGCATTTAACTGGTTTTCAAAACGTATTCGCTTTTCGTTTCCACATGCAACAGGTCTTCAATCAGCAGCTGCAGGACCATTCGCTGCGCGATTTCCGCGGCACGGTTTGCCATTTGTTGCGTCAACAAAACTTGCTGCCCAGCAGCAGCACAATCTGCCAGTAGATCTGCCAAGTGTTCAATGTAACTGCCTCAAGTGTGGAATGAAATTAAAATTCAGAAACTGGTTTCTTCAACTAAACAAGAATTTCGGTCTGCTGGGGGGGGAATGGAACAAATATGTCAACATGTGAAACAAAAAAGGTCACAGAGAAAAAGATTTGCAAAATTGGTTGGTATTGTTATCCCAACAATAAGTCAATTATTATTCAGGCAAAGTTTTTAAAAATTCCTAGTAAATCAGAATATTGCAAATATAAATTCAAAATTATGAAAATTAATTTATAAGCCAATTTTCTTCAAACTCTATCTCTCTACCTCTCACACTTTCATTAGGATAATAATTTATATTGGTACGTAAGATACAGTTCATCAATTACAATCGTGTAAATGTATATAGTACATGCAGTGCGTAGGGCTTCTATTTTATTTACAAGGGCGTACAATATAAATTCATTATTTTTGGATGGGATGGGGAATGAGGGAATATCGTTAGGTTTTCCTCGCGATGAACCAACAACAAATGACTTATCAACTATGTGCTAATGGCTAACCTACAACTAGGGTTTCAATTTCTTGCACTTTGTGTGTTTGCTGTGTTCGCTGACGGGTGTGCAGAAATAACAATTTGTAGACGGGTTTCCGTTGTGATTAAAGCATTTCTCTCAGACGGCCGTACCCGGAGCCTGGCCAACGGATGAGCCCGCCGACGCACCGGTGGCCGCATTGAGGCTAAGCGAGCGACGTGGAGCCGGCTTTGGTGGAATCTGCGGCTTGACGGGCGCAATCTTGGCCAGAGTCACGCTGGCCTCGCTGATGAGCGGCTGTTGTCCCGGCCGCTCCTTCTCCTGGAACTCCACATAGCCGCTCTCATCGCTGTCGGAGGCCTCGTCCGGATGGTCGCCCCCCTCCTGTTTGTCCAGTTCATCGCTGCCGGAATTGCTGCGCTTCAGCGTGATGCTGCTGGAGCTGCTGTAATTGGTGGCATCGCCGCTGTTGTTCCGCAGCTGCTGCTCCAGTCTTTGGTAGATCATCATCTGTTCCAGCACCTGCGCCTGCTCCAGCTCCAAGTCCTGCAACTGCAGCTGCGACTGCTCCAACAGGCCGGAATCGCTGTTCCGCTTGCCATTGTACTCCTCGTGGTTCGCATTGGTGACTGTGCTGGCCGTCTCGCAGCCGCTGGATATGGATCCCTCGTCGCTGTCCGGACTGGCCAGCCCCTGCTGGACAGATCCACCGCCCGCTGCCGCCGATGTGCTGGCCGTCGTCGAGCTGGACGCATTGGAGGAGATGGACGACTGCGCCTGGTGGCGATACTTAAGGCTTGACTGCTCACTCGCCCTCATCTTGCGCATCGAACTCCGGTGCAGCATGGTCAGCATGGCCGCATGCCGGAAGTAATGATCGTCCGCATCGTCCAGGAAGTCCTCCTCCCCGTCGCTGCACACGCCACTGCGACGCGGAGCGGACACATCGTGATCCTCGGCGTTGTAGTCCGCCTCAGGGTCCGCGCTGGGATCGCTGTTGATGGTGGGCAGCAGGCTCAGCGGCTCGCCCTCCTCCTCCGGCTCCTTCAGATCGCTGAGGCTCACCATGCTCTGGCTGCTGTTCTTGTGCAGCTGCATGTCGAAGTACGGCAGCAACTCGTTGCTCAGAGTCGTGTCGAACTTCAGCAGCTTCTCAAAGTCATCCGAATCAGAGCCATCGTTGGAGGGACTGCTTGCCGACACCAGCTTCTGGCCATCCTCCTGGGGCAGATCCTTGGCCATATGCGAGCTGCAGCAGGGCGAGAAGGCCTGAATCTTGCCCGTTCTCCGGATCGAATGCCCGCGACGACAGCGACGCCTGCCCAAGGTCATGGCCGGGTACAGCGAATCTTTCTGACAGCAGGGCATCATCTCCGGCTCGTTGGTGTCCTCGATCTCGTCGCCCTCCTCCTCGCCAATGGCCTCCTCGATGGCCATCAGCTTGGGCGCCGACTTGGAGCGCTCCAGCGGCGGTCGGTAGTTGTTGCCGCCCACACTCAGCATGATCTTGCGGCGCGGCAAGCTCGGGTTGTCGTAGACGGCGTTGGCCAAACTCAGGCGAGCGTTTTGCTTCAGAATTTTCTCACGCTTAAATTCGCGCAAAGCGCTCTCCAGGTTTTCCTACATAGAAAATATATACATATTAGAGAAAAATTGCATAAAAACATATAAATTGCAAGAATGGAATTTGTTTCTCGACAAAATGGATTAAACAAAATCATGAAATTTCCTATGTGAAATACTAAAGTTAAAAATCAAAGATGTAAGTTATAAAAAAGTTATAAATACTCGAAGAATTATTTATAATAAAACCTTTAGTTGGCGATATTTTAATTCGTCACGCTCTTTACATACATAATTGCATGAAAAAATGACTTGATAAAAATAAAATGTTAGTCATGGCTATTTCAGTGATTGAGTTGAAATACACAACCACTTGTGTTTAATCTGGTCGTTTATGGCTAGATTTATGTGGGAGTCAAGGGATAACATTCCATTCAAGCAGGATTCAAGTCAGGGGCAATAGCTCACCCTAAGGGTATCGCAAATGTCCTGGGCGATCTTCTCCTTGCTGCAAAGCACCGCATGGCATCGAAGCTCGTGCTTCAGCTTCCTGCCCTCGTGGCGGTAGATCCAGCAGAACACCCGGGGATAATTCTTCGGAGCGCAGCAGTAGGTGATCCTGTGGGCCCAGTACTCCGTGAGGCCGTGTTGCCGGGTGGTGGCCTTCAAGCCGGAGGCACACACCTTCAGTCGCATGATCACATCCGGTTTGGAGTGTTGGGTGTAATTTCGCCACAGGGTGTTCAGCTGCTTCTCCACACAACCCTCACCTGCTAAGGGTACAATATTAGTATGGATTCATAGATAGTTGTTCGTTAATATGCGTGACTCACCCTTGGCCCAGCCGGTCAGGACATTGCCCAGGTAGGACACCTTGAACTCCGGGTCCGGTGTGCTGATATCCACGCTGTGGGTGCGCCTCCACAGTTTACCCAGACTCCGGGTGAGCGTACGAATGGCCTTGGAGCTGAGCTGATCCTGCTGATCGTGACCACCAGTGCGACCCACATGCTCCTGCCGGCTGCCGTAGAGCAAGTCCCGCGAGTCCGTGGTGAGGGTTATGACATTTGTGACCCTCACGGTGTCATCCTCGCCGGCCACATCGCCGTCCTCCTTGGACACCCGCTTGAAGCGCTCCAGATAGGGACCCGCTCGACCCCGCCGCCCGCTGTACGTGTTGAACTTGCCACCCTCCGATCCGGCCAGACGCTTCTGCTCCTGCTTCTCGAACTTCTTGGCATTGTAGGTGTTGCCCAGCAGTCTGGCCAGGCTGTTGCTCTTCACGAACTTGTGTTGACGCGGTGGCGTTCCAATCGGCACCGGCGGAAGGGGGGCAGGAATGGCCGCGGGATTATCCTTGCCACTCGCTTCCTGGTTCTCTTGTGACTTGCTCTGACTCAGCTTCTTGCTGCTGCTGCTGCCAAAATGAAAGAGGGTGCGACGCTCCTTGGCCTTTTTCAGGGTGTTGCCGTTTGGTTCGTTGTTTGGTGTTGCTGTTGCTGCTGGTGTTGCTGTTGCTGCTGGTGTTGTTGCTACTGCTGCTGCTGCTTTGGTGTTGATCACCGCTTGACTCACGCTGCCCAGATCCTCATAATCGTTGTTGTTGTTGTGCGTGGCCACTATAAAGTCAACCTCATCACAACCCTCGGAACTGTGCTCCACTTGGGATTTGGTGTTGCCGTTGTTGCTGGCTGCCATTTTGGGTAGTGTTGCTGATGTAACCAATCAATATCCGTTGGTTAAGAGCATGTTACAGAAGATCTGCAAGCGGAAAAAGGGAATGAAAATTAGCAATAATCAATTAATATGCACGAAAAAGGGAGAAAATGGTCTGTTAAAAACTTAATTGCTCAATAATTCCTTTCGGGAATCACATTGAGGAAAATTAGTAATCATTTAAATTAGCATTCAAAATACAACCAAAACAGCAGCGGAAACGAACTTTTTAAAACAATCGATGTTATGGAATATGATTCGGCAAAACAAAATTATTTAATAAAGCACATCTAATTGGAAGTTGTTATAAAAATAATTTGAATGATTCAATGATTTCATATCGTCAACATTTTCCCTTTGTTTTCGTATTGTTCTTATAAAACCTTTGTTTTCGTTTTGCAAGTACAAAATTCTTAGTCTATTTAATTGAATTAAAAACTATTTATGGCTTTCGAAAATATTTTGAGCCTATGCTAATTAAAATAGTAGGCTTAGCCCTTTATGCTTGCAAAATAACTAACTTTTATTATGCCATTTATGAATGAGTGTGAGGAGGTTAAATTTGTCATTTTAGCCACACTTTCACCCATCTTCGGAAACAATTCGCACTCGCAAAGTAACCACCAATTCACACCCGATTCCGAGTGTATTTTTCCGCAACTGCGGCCAAAAAGCGTCAACTGACTAATAAATTACCACATGATTAACACTCAGCACCAGCTGTAAAATGTTTTTTCCTCCAAATCTGGTGTTTTTTTTCGCACAGCTTACAATATGCAAATGTTTACGGTATTATAATTGCTATTTTTTTTTTTGATTTGCACTGTTTCTGTTTTTTTTTTTGCCATGTTAGCTGGAAAATGCCACACGGCGCTTAGCTGGGCCCTCAGCCTTTGTGCATTTAACATTTTCACATTGTTTGGATAGCGAATTGTTTGCTAAAAAGTCAGTTAAAGATGCAACTATCAAGAGTCATTAAGTACGAGTATTAAATGCCTGAAAAGCACTTAGACGGCGCAATTATGGGAGCAAAAAAGTCAGTTGTTCGGCTACATTTCCATTTCCATTCGTTTACCTGGCTAAATTTAGTTGCTGCAAAAAGCGCAATTAAAACACAATAAAGTCTAGCAAACACCTCCGTTTGCTCGCCAAAACTCGGTAGAACTGAACTCTAATTTTCCAGCTTAATCACTCACGTAACTGACCGATCGGCGATTAAAAGTCCAGGCAACCTTTAAGATCCATCACTTTCGAGTTGCTCTAATCGCGTCGGGCTGTGTTAGCCAACTGCAGGCACGGTTCGGTTATCTAATCGCGTTGGCTATTTTGCGGCTCTGATTTTTATGGCCAACTATAAAGCTGCAGAGAGTCGTGCTCGTGATTTAGAATTATAAATATTAAGCTGTTCTGCGGAAAGGAATTTATGGTAATTTACGGCCAAGTGGTGGCCAGCAATTGCCAGGCGTAGCGAATTCATAGGAAGTCGATACCTTATGCCCGATACCCCGATACCCGAGACACTGCAATATCCAGATATCTGTTGTAAATATAAATATAAATATAAATACAGCGAAGCCAAAGCAAATCGATGGCCCAGCCTCTTGGCCTCGGACAAAAGGTAATTGGTCAGGTCTATGGCCATATCATTAGCCGCTTTTCTATGCAATGACCTTGGCTATCTGCAGGTGTCTTTGGGGAGTCGATAAAGTCGCTGGCTTTCACTTTTCCGTGTCTTCCACTCGGACGCCACCTTTAGGTTTTTGTGTATTCGTATGTTAATGTAGCCAAATGTCAACCCAAGCGCCATTCACAGATACGAACGAGTGTGAGAAAGCCCAGTAGTCTTCGCCACCCCCTACCATCTCAACTGATCCCTTGGGGCAATGACATCCACATCCACATCGCCAGCGCCATCGTCATCGTCATCGCCACTCGTTTTCTCCGCCTTGTAAGAGCAGGCAAAGAAAGCGCGCTGAATTTGTAAGAAAAGGTAAACAGAAAGATATTTAAAATACGAAAAAAAAAAAAACTATGTAATTGTTTTGCTCAGGCACTGCCCTGCCCTGCCCCACCCATTATCATTTATGCTTCTCCTTCTACTTTTGAATGGTCTTTCCCCTTTGTCCATAATTGCAGGTCTCGTATTGTGCGTGAGCGCGCATTTTAAAAGTCCAACTCACATTAAATGAAATACGAAAATTAAATACAACAACAAAAATCGTATAAGAAAAATACACTTTGTGTACGAAAAAAAGAGCGAACAAAAAAATAATGCAAAAAGCGTAATGAGGAAGTGTGGCCATGTGGACAGTTTGGTGTGTGCAAAATATTAATATCCAACTACGGATACCAGGAGCGTTTCAAGACCTTGAGGGGAAGTCATTTGGTGAGGGAGAAATTTAACAACTTCCTCTATAAGTGATGTGGTTAGTGGTGGAGAACTTTTTTTGCCTGCTCAATAAATGTTTAATGACATGAAAGTGACACTGTAAATTGGTTGCCATCATTAATAAAAACTTTTACTTAATAGAAGACATTTGCAACTCTTCCCTTGGAAACAACATCTGTCGCTTTTTTGATTGATCATCGTATCTTATAATTAGGTAAACGCTTTTAATTTATTTATTTGATATTTCTATTTCTGTTTTCAGACATTTTTTTGTCGAGTTCTCTTGTCCAGTCTCAATGCAGACAATGGCTGGGAGAGAAACTGCCCAGTCATTTATCAAAATTTATTTTAAGCATTTTGTATTCTTTTTTTGTCAGTTGTTAACAGCTAAATTTGCGTTCGTTTCCCAAACGAGAGCTGGGATCAGTGTTTCCCAGGCTGCTTAAAATGCAAAAGCCACAGAAACAACATCAAAGTTATTTGTTTAGAGACCAAACACTTGAAAGTTCTCAATAGGCCAAGCCGCGGAGTTGAACAAAAAATGCAATTTATTATTGTTAAGAGCTAACCGACGAGGGCCTGCAGAGATATACAGTGAAGCTTCCTCAAAGGGAATGTTGTATAATTTATTTGTACTAATTTTACAGTTGAAAATACTATTTTTTCAAGTTTTTAGGTATAGTTTTTGATAAATTTGCAGCCTAACGTGTATAATAATGGATTTTAATAGGACACTGTTATATTCATTTGACTTTAGTTGTATTTTTTTCCTAGCTGGATATTTACAAGTTTCACTTTACCAGAATACCTATGCTCGGTGGCTCAGGTGCAACGATTGGTTGTTGTTGTTGGCGGGTTGTCTAGCATAAACTGTGTCAACTGCAAGTTTGAAAAGTTGATTCTAATGTTTACTTAGTGTGGGCCCCGCTCGCACATAAATATCAATTTAGCCATGGTCCTCTGTGTGTGGTTTCCCCCCACCCCCTCTCCAATGTCAGGTTAAATAAATCGTAAATTCAGAATTCGCTGCTGAGATCTCAGGCTTACAGTCGTGGCTCAAGCACCCAAGAATGTCTCAAAGTAAATACGAAAAAAGTGACTCGCAACTAAATTAAACAGTTTCGCAATTCGTATTCGTCGGATAATTTCAGTTTTTTTGGGCATGTGTGTCATGTGCAGTTGTCGCCAGCCGAAATGCTCGAGGAGATCGGGGGAATTCGGAGGAGTCATATAGAGAGTAAGATGAAGGAAGCCTTTCTGGCCTCTTTGTACGTGCGAACGCATTGGAATGCATTTAATTAAACGATTGAATAAACTATAATGTATGGCATAAATTTGTATAGAATTGTATTCTCGATAATTGATTGGCTACACACACCTCAGAGGGAGACAAAACCCGGTTTAAGCCAGCATCGATATTGTTTATATTCTTTGAGCAGATTAAGGAGGGGAAATCAATACATAGATACATCTTTGAGCAACGCGGGAAAATTGCATTCTTGCAGGTAGATGGAAAAATTAAGATAACTAGAAATCAAGGGTATAAAATTTATATCTCTAGCCGGATTCATACCGTTCTGTGTGCAACCAATTAAACAAGAGTAATTTAATTTACTACCAAGAAGTAAAGCACATGTATTATTATTATGAAAAGTAAAACTTAAGAACCCATTAAACAAGCTAGAAATTATAAATTCCCAATAAAAAAAAGCTCTTTAAAGCTATTTAGTAAAAAAAAGGAATGCTAGTAATATAAGGGGTTTCACTAGTGTTTATTTATATTATTTATATATTTCTTTAAGATGTTATGAGCATTTCTCATAAAATATACGGGCTTGCAAATGTTTTTCTCAGAACTTTTAATTCGCATAATTCCACCATTAGAAACAATCACACATGCCCATCTATTCGGATTACATATCCACCTCCATAACCTTCCGACTCCAACTCACTTTGGAAACAAATTAAAAATTCAGTTCTCATCTCACAATGAAACAAAGGAACAATTGACATTGACTTTTGCTTGCCTTTTCTTTTACTTTTTTTCGGGCCACTCACTGGCGATAAAGCAAAATTCACTTGAATTGGGTATTAAAGCTCGTACATCTTAAGAGGCAACTTATAGTGTAAAAACCCCCACAATTTGTTTTAATTTCGTTTATAGACAGATAATAAAGTACATTATCCCACAAGAACAGGCAGCAACAAAGTGTGCAGAAAGAACACTGCGTCGAAAGTATGTGTTTTAGTGTCGGACACCAGAAGATCACGAGATTTAATGGGGTTTGTGGGGGGCAGGGTGCAGGGAACAGGGGGCAGGGGGCTCCGGCTTTAATGGGGCTCAAAAGTTTAGCCAACAAAATATGTTGCTACTGTTGCCTTTGTTGTTGGACTAATTGAGTTGAAGTAGCCGCAGCAGGTTTTTGTTTTACAAATTATATATTTTTTATGCCTGCGTAATTCTCCTTTTTCGTATTAAAATTTCTTGCTGTTTTTGAAAGTGAATGCCTTGACATCATTTTATTTACATTTTGGATTTTATTTTCGCTCTTTTGTTCAATGAAATGAAGTCGAAAACTTTATTTAAAATTCCAAAAGTGCACTCCCAATGCCTTTTTCAATTCTCAACTATAATTTATTCATATTTGCTTGGCAG